CAAGCCTAATGATGACATGCACTGCTCTCACACAGATCGTAATCAAAATATAAATCTCGGCCGCCGAACGAGCCCGGGGAGGAAATTCCCCCAAGGACGTGAACAGGCGTCCAAAAACGCGGATCCTCAGCGGGAAAGAGGGATTCCAGTTTTCAATCGCGCCGACGGAGAATTTACACAACGTAAGTTAAGGCCAAGGGCATTGGCCGCGAGTTGTAATAAGTTGTAACGGCCGCAGGGAACACAAAATGCATCCTAGTTAGGTATATTTCATGGTTATTGGCATGCTGCCTCCACTATATTCCCTCAAGCACATGTTCACGCGAACAAACGCACACTTAAATAAAACAAGAATTTTACATCGTACGTCAGATTCCATGACGGCTCTCCCTCCATCATCATAGAATTGGCTATTAATAATCGAGGGCTTGAGACGTCAACGAGTCCTTTCAAAGTCATTATCACGTGAGTGTCAAAGGAAAGAAACCGCTCGTGTTACGCAGACCTCCATCAGCGCCCCTTCCATTATAAGCTGCCAAAGACCACGGGATCGGGAAACATCTCCAATATTCATTCTGCTCTCGCTCTTTCGTATCATTGCTGACGTTAGCTCTCGAAGAAAATTTCTCTCTCTCTCTCTCTCTCTCTCTCTCTCTCTCTCTCTCTCTCTCTCTCTCCTCTCTCTCTCTCTCTCTCTCTCTCTCTCTCTCTCTCTCTCTCTCTGTGTATGTGTGTGTTTGTTGTTTCATGCAGTCATAAGGAGAGCAAATCCATAAGTAATATATCTTGTGTGTATGGTATGGCATGTCTCGTTCGTATTCCAAGTTCTTTTTAAGCAACAATGGAGCGACGTGGTTTAGATAATCATTTTCATCTACTCGGTTCACTGAACCGATATCTAGGATTTGCATTCTGTGATATATACGGGCTAAGATTTTTTTTCCTCGTTCCAAATACACAATCAGCACTGTAAAATTTAGGAAGAAAATCTATTTTTACTGCTGACGTTATGTTCATGAAGAATATATCCGTGTATGAAGAAGAATTTTCAATTTCATAAACGTATTTTCAAACAAAGTCTTAGTTGTTTATTAGCACTTGCTAAAACACAGTTAACAATATATACTCACAGAGTAATCATAGATTTATATGCAGATATTCATGTCATTTACTTATGCAAATTAACACGTATCGATCGTGATTTAATTGTGTATAAAAACTGTACAATATTTTTTGTGTATCTAAAATCTATAATACATCAGGTTGAGGTGGAAGGGGAAACATTTTCTTCAGCAAGTAAGGCTCGTAATCCATATGGATGCCTTAACCCATAAATAAATAAAAACATTTACAGCATGCCCCGTGTAAAATTGCCGTTAAAACACTCATCGTCACTACCTTCGCAACAACAACAACAACAACAACAACACAACAA